AGAGAGAGAGAGAGTGATGGCTAACGGCGCACACACAAGCAGCGAGCCAGAGCCAGAGAGAGGGAGGGAGAGACGTCTAACAGAATCAAATCCCATGGAAGTTCAGTTCAGGTGCATGCTATATATATGGGTTTCTCCTCTCCATCAGCTCAGGTACATCACATCCAGACAGTCATACAATCCTACACCGGCAGAGCCAAGCTATAAATGCTGCTCTTTCTCCGCGGTGGCCTGGGGCGCAGGTGATGTGCCTGGCTGCCCGCCCATGCCGGCTTGTGGCTCCATGGTGAGATCGATCTGTGCGCCAAGTCGGCAGTTCCCGCTTGGTGGCCTGTCACAGTAAGCCCCAACCCTAGTATGTGGTCTACTATGCCACATGATGGCTGGCTGCTCCTCTCCTAGGCCTACTTGCATACATACATTATCGCCATCCAGGAAAACTCCATCGTGTGGGAACCATGCATACAATTGCCACCATGTCACTAGAAACTGGGCATGGCAATATCTGCTGGTCCCGACGTACGTACGTACCGGAGTTTCCTTGGATGATGATGATCGTGTAGGTACGTCTGGGAACGGGCCATCCTATGGCATAAGTACACTGCATACTGGTACATATGGTTTATTGTAGCAGCTCACCAAGTAGCACGAACTACCGAAATGGCACATGCATGCATGTAGCTAGAAGGCCACCGATACTTGTCGATTTTGTTTTGCTTGAAGCATGCATATTCATAGCCCTCCCTCATGTTGAAATATTGCTCCAAAAGGTAAGGTAATTTCTCTACAACACTTGCCAGCTGAAATATTGCTCGAGTTTTCTCGACGTTGCTTTTCTAGTTTACTGTTCTCTTCCGGTAACAAACTAGCAAGTTGCACAATGAATCAAGTAGAGATTATGATGCGCTTGCATATATCATCACCAGCTTGAGTATACGATAACTAAAAAAAAGTAGTAACTTTGCGCGTAGCTAGCTTTCTGCTGACCGGCGACACGACAACGCAAACATCTTTGGTTGTCATCCTCAGCCTCATCTCAAGAGATTAGGTGAAGAATCAAGATTTGCTTTGTTTCTGTATCTTGCAGCCAGCAAGAAGAACACAACAAATATGTTACACCTTATATATCAATTATAAGTGACGAAGAAGAAGATTCTCGGTGATCGCTTTTTGCGGAAGCATGAACGTCTGTCACCTTTTCGCTTCTCATCCACACAAGTTCATAAATCTTAAGAAAAAACATGTACTAGTATACATTTCTTTCAGTATGCGTGGAAAACAAAAAAGATGTGTGCGAACGATTATATAAATCAAACTGGGGAATGTGGATCAAACGTAAATACCGTGCTTAAAGATCTGTCAACTTCTCTAAAACAGGAGATCGCTGCAGAAAAGCGCACAAGCCCTGCATTTCAAGTCCTTATTTTTCATTTTTACAAGGCAAGGCAGGTTAGTTAGCTTAGGAATGTGGATTTATAAAAGCTCAGGCTACTGGACACCTCCTATCCATACCCTACAATCTTGCTTTGAGATCCGTGCTACACAACTAACTTGTTACATGCATATTTCTCTTTTTTGTTTCTTCAAAATGAAACAATATATGAACTTCAAACTTTCCAGGACAACAAAACATTCTAACTACAATGTGGGAAAAAACTTTCAGATTTTTTGGTACGACATAAATATACAAAATGAGATTTTTTTTTTTTGGGAGGGGGGGGTAAAAAATATTAGTTTTAGTATATATGTTTCACGAAAAAATCTGAAAGTTTTTTCTAACATTCTGGTTAGAATGTTTTGTTGTCCTCCAAAGTTTATAGTTCATATATTGTTTTATTTGGAAGAAACAAAAAAGACAAAAGTGCTCGCACAAATCTTGATGCGGAAATGAATGGCTAGATAAGGGGGTGTATGAAAGCCTATGCTTTGTCAAATGTTAACCGTTAGGTTATGCAATACAGTGGTAGATGCGCGGATTCATCAGGTGACTGTTCATCCTTGTGTTTCAGGTGGATTTTAGCCTTTCCAGCTGGTGCTTTACCTATATATTAACAATCATGAACTGCATCAGGAAACACATATCTTCAGTGCAATGCGGTGACTGTTTCATTAAGAATATGTGCATGTGCATAATCGGGAACACCGACCAAAATGGCATTTATCTCCTCTAGCAGAGGTTGTGCAATGGAGACCAAGACCATGACATCTTCACCAAAATACCCAGGATCCTGGCAGCTCCCCATCAGCAACTGAATGAAGATGTCTCTTTCCGGAATAAGACACAATGCTACCTGAAAGTTTGCAACTATGCTCGCGACATTAGTTCAGTGGACACAACTCAAACCAGCTAATGGCTGCAATAACAGCTTGATATTACTAATGTATTGCCATTTATCAAAAGTAATGAACTAGATTTATCAGGTGAACAATCTCCTGAAAATTGCTAGCTTGTGCAGTCGTGTAAAACTAAAAGTCGTGATGATGAACAGCAGTATGTCAGCTGATCAAAGTAAAGTGGTCATACCTTGTAAGCAGCTGATGAGATCCATCCATGGAACGGCTTGAGGGTGCTCTTGTATGCTTCTTCCACCATCTCTTGCAGGCTTGACTCTGAGTTCTTCACTAATCCCTCCAGCAAATGTATCGAGAAATTCACCGACCTAAACCCAACGCATTTTTGGCGAAACATAAAAACTAAGGTTTTGAAACAGAATTGACACATATGGTATAAAACAACATATGTTACCTGGCCAGCCAGATAATTGCCCTGGCGCAACTATTGGTCTTCTTTGAGGTCCCTTCCACCACTTCCTTTGTTACCATCGCCGTCAAGCTCGCATATTTCAAAGAGTCTCTTGCATGGAGATCTTGTAATCTCTGCAAAGGGAAACTCGCTTATTATGTAACTGTAATCACTTCACTGCAATTAGCACAATCAAGTCAGTATGCCCAGTCGCTTAGTTATGTGAACAAATGCAATGCAGAGTGCAAGGCAACATGGGAGTAATGATTATGTAGAAAAAGAGCAATCACCTGAACATTTTGCTCAATGTCTTGCGTGAGGACTAGCAGCGTCGGCCCAATCGCATCTTTGACGGCAAAAAAAAAAGCATTTGTTAGCTCGACCTTGAATCTACAAATATATTCATAGTGAAAGAAGTGCAAACGGTAAACTAGATGCAACTTGTGTCAACTTTGCAAGAGGGAGCCAGAGACCGCAGCTCATCTTCTCTTCCAATGCGGGTTCTCTGGACTGGACGCGTTGCGGCCTGGAACGGGATCCCCACGGTCAAATAGTGGTGTGCGGCGGTGGGTTTGAGTGTTTCTTTACCATTATTCTTTTGCATAGATCAGCCATGTCCATGTACAGTTAAGTTACCTAGCCAGCCAGATAATTGCCCTGCTACAACTGTTGGTCTTCTTTGAGTTCCCTTCCTCCACTTCTTCCATCACGATCGCCGTCAAGCTCACGTATTGTGAAGAGTCTCTTGCATGGAGATCCTGTAATCTCTGCATAAGGAAGATAGATAACTGTGATCGCTTCACTCAATTAAAACGCAGAGTCGATATGCTCGATCAGTCGCTTAGTTATGTGAACAAGTGCAATGCAGAGTCGCAATATTACCTGAACATTTTGCTGAATGTCTTGCCTGAGGACTAGAAGCGTTGGCCCAATCGCATCTTTGACGGCGAAAAACAAAGCATACAGTGAAAGAAGAAGAGATGGTAAACCAAGGTTAAAACAGAGTAGCTCTAAAGACATCGAAGTTCGATCCTCACAGTTTTCAGTTTCAGTTTCGTTCAAGTAACTAACCAAGGACACGGAGAAGCTGGTTGGAGACACAAAGGAGATCCATGGTGGATGACCTCCTAATTTTCCCCTGCTGCTCCTGATATTCACCATCTCCTGAGCTGGGCAAGGAGAGGTCCTCGATGGCCATCCTCAGCTCAGACTTGCCCCTCTCCATCTTCTCCCTTTCCATCTCTCCTAGCTACTACGTACTACCTTAGCTTGACATCTGGCTCCATTAGTCCCCTAGTTATATACACACAGATTCAGCCTCATCTGCTGCCATTTCTTGGGACAAATGATGGGGGTCAACTTCTCGATGCTATTTTTGTAATGTAATAATTGTTATGACTTGGAGCTATCCTCTATGGGAGGTCAGAGCAGCAAATGGTGTATTATTAGGAGTAAAATATGAGGTGGTGGCTCTGTCGCCTAGCTTGGAAATGGATGATTTGATTCGGTTGATGTACTTGTTTAACGGTTAACCAGCTGGCCTTGTACTTGTTGTAGTGTTGTTAAACCATTGGCTCCCCGGAAAAAAAGAACGTTGGCAATTAATTATAGCTCTATTTTAGTTAACGGTTAACCAGCTGGCCTTATTTCGGGGTGAAAGGTGCATGTGCGAAAAATATTACTTTGAGATGGAAACCTTTGGTTTCTCCTCGTCAATCATCTCTCACGAGTGTTCGCACATGAAAACGTCAACGTGTACCGTTGACACCGTGGGTGATGCACCGCAGCTCGTGCCGAAGGATACCCGGCCGGAAGCGCGGTACGCAAACAATCCAGCGGACGCTTTTGTAGACCCAAAACCCAAACGTCCTGGTGAGACCCTGTCGTGGCGTGCGGCGGCTATGGACTGCCCAAGGTCGACCTGATCGCCCCTAGGTCCTCATGGATCACCGCCCTGCAACAAAGAATGAACGAAAAATGAGAAAAAGAAGAACTGGGCAAAAGAAAAAAGTGGTAGATGTGTTTGTCGATTCTATGTTGTTCAATTGGCCATCACCTCTCATCAATTTATGAGGTGTATAGACTTTCTATATAAGAAAAGGACTCCAAATCTTTCCAAAATTAACTGAACTCGGATTTCGGTATGTCTAAGATAACACTTTGGTTTTGGGGTTCCACAGGCTAAATACGACCTCGGGTGGAGACACGCCCAAAAGCAACTTTATCCATTTTGACAAGACGAACAATTTTTGTGATGAACGTTTTTCGATTCGAGGCCATATTGAGGGCTAAATCGCTCGGTCAAATCATGCAACAACTCGCGCTACCTATCAGACATTGGTCATATGGGTGTCTGGTGCCGCGGGCCACTTTTTACTCATACTCGGACAGCGCTGCGTTGGCTCTAACTTTTGTGTACAACCTCGGATTGAGATAAATCACATATTAAAATTAATCGGCTCGACGAAACAAAGACAATCCTTGTAGAACACTTTTTCATATCAGGGCATATTGGAGGCATAATCAGCCGAATAGTACTCGGAATACAAAATCTTAGTACTTCGAGCACAATTTTGGTCCTCGAGATGTGATCGGATGATGATGACCCAAACATCAAAGACGATATAAAACTTTTTCGTACCGGACACTTTTTCATTTGAGGCCATCTTGCCTTGCCAAAAACTGATGTCAATAACGGGTGACATGATGTCCTCACTAAGTAGACGAATAAGATTGGTATCTTATCAGAGAAATTACCCGAGTCATGTTTTCTTTACTCGGAATTTTTTTATGCAAAGTACTCCATTCAATAGTTTTTCAGTTTAGAGAAAGTTTTGCTCTTTTTTACACCATTTAATGATCTACCAGGTGGGTCTCAATCGTTAATTACAGGTGGCTTATCATGTTGCGATTTTCCTCCCGGCTTTTCCTCCTGCGCTTGAATAGGTCAAATGGCTTAACGGTACTCCCTCCATCTCAGTTTACAAGTCCTGCACGTATATCTAGGTTGCCAATTTTATCACCCTAATATAAACTATATAACACAAAAATTACACCGTTTGAAAATAGAAAATCTGAAGTTTGTATTGGTATTTTTTTTGTAATATATGGCTTGTATTAGGTTGGTCAAATTGACGACCTAGGGGTATGTGCATGCCCTGTAAACTGAGAGAGGGGGAGTAAATGGTTTCTTTTATCACAGCCATCTAGTGTGTGTACGCACCACTTCACATTGATGAGTTCCTTCGTCATGTCATGCATCCCTTTGTTCTTTGCTTCCACCTCATTCTTCTTCAACGCATTTCCTTTCGGGTGATGCAACATATACTTGGCATAACTCCATCAATCCTGTAAGTAGGAGTTATCTTCGACCTAAAGTACTTTAAGGGGGTATAAAAACCAACAAAACTTTCGCTAGGGTAATCCATATGAAAAGCTATTAATTGGGTAATTAGCTTTAAAAGGTATCAAAAATACGGGTTACAAACTGGTATTCACTAGTTTAGGAATGTGTATATAGGTCACCATGTCATTATCTAGTTGTAAAAGAAAATAATCATGTCATGATCAATCAACTCAACTGATAATTTGTTATAATAATCATTGATGACACTCACCCGTGCACCTTCCAAACCCATTTGACGATCAGTACCAAACCATATATTATATAGCTGGACCTTATTAACATTGTTCTAGAGAGTTCCGGCAATTCACTACTGCCATCCTGGTCAGCCGTCACGGAAAGAACCTATCAATGACAGCAACATATGACACAGTATCACATTACTGGAGCAATCTTGTTAAAGCTCTGGTGCATTTAGAAGTAGCGATCCAAAAATTATTGATCCTAGCACCGAGGAGAGCTAGACAATAACCCGAAAGTTGGCTAGACGTAGGAGAGGGACACAAACCTCACAAATTCTTTGATGAAGTTGTCATGGATGAGTTGTATTCCCTCCATAAACAAATATTGGTCCTCTATTAATGAAGTTGCCATAGATGAGTTGTACTTGTTAATGAGCGCCACGACGTTACATTAGTACTCTACTAGTATGGTCATACAATTGTTGGTTATAGAAGATGTAACGGCGTGGCGCTCATAAACCTGATTTCATGCGATCAGGTTAGCTAACACAGATATTGACAATCACGCTGATATATCAAACTCGAACAATGGTTTTTGTTGGGATATAAATTCTAAAAATAGATTAAGTAGAAATATAGTGTTCTAATCGGACCGTAGATTCTGTTTCTGCTCAAGCGGGTTGAGCTGCGTGCAAAAAAAAAATAGGTGGTTCGCACGCGTGCAGCTCCACGGCTTGCAGTTCACGCGGGGAGTGGTTTCCCAATCCATTCAGTTCACGAGCGTGTATGTGCGTTGTGTGCGGCCGGCTAAATTGTAGGTTGTGTGTCCGTTGAGTGCTGCATTGTACTCCCTCCGTTTCAAAATACATGATTCAACTTTGTACTAACTTTATACAAAGTTGAGTTATCTATTTTAGAACGGAGGGAGTAGGTGCTTGGCGAAATGTGTGAACCAAATATAATCTATAGGGAGTTAAATTTAAGGGTTTGGTAAGGTCCGGCCAACTTTTAACTCCTCAAATTATAAGAAGATGAGTATAAGGAGGTTGGGCGCACACAAGGACTTAAATTGTAAGGGATCGGCTAGAGATGCCCTTAGGTCGGCGTCATTGTCATTGTCATCCTCGTGTCAGGAGATTAGGTGAAAATCATATTTTCTTTGGTTTCTGTATTTCGCATTAGTTGCTTTCTCCTTCTTTTAGTTTAATCTAAGTCGTTGCTTTTCTATTTTTTTCTCTTTCGGTAACAAAAAATAAGTTGCACAATGGATTAAGTAGAGATTATAACATGCTAACATATATACTATCATCGCTCTTATCATTAGTTTGAGTATACAATAACTAGAACAAATATATTTGCGCATAGCTAGCTTTGTGCTGACCGGTGACACAACAATGCAAACATCTTTGGTTTTATTGCCATGAGAGTGCAAGTAGCTTTAAATCGAAGATTAGAGCCATTGTCATCCTCGGCCACATCTCAAGAGATTAGGTGAAGTATCATGCAGTTAGCAACAAGAGACGAGAAGAAGATTCTCGGTGATTGCTTTTGCGAAAGCATGAACGGTGTTGCCACTAACCAACAAAAATACAGTGAGTGAGGGGGGAAGAAATCAACAAAAGATGCATTGTGTTTCAGTTATTAAAGGTCTCTGATGATACGAGTCCAACCGGCCACTAAACTACACACGTACAGCAACAAATACAGCGCCGACATTTGTTAAACAAAAAGGAGTCTAGAACCCACCGCCAAAAATAAATCGTTAACTTCCATTTTACAAGGCAAGGTAGGTTAAGTAGCTTATTATATACGGTACAGTGGTAGATAAGTAGAGTCATCAGGTGGATTTCAGCCTGTCGAGCCGGTGCTTAACCTGTAAATTAACCACCATGAGCTGCATCAGCAAACACACGCCTTCCCCAAAATGGTCATTAAGAAGTTGTAGGGGTTGATAATGGGGAACACCGACCGAAATGGCATTCGTCTCCTCTAGCAGAGGCTGTACAAATGAGAGCAAGATGATGACATCTTCCCCGAAATCCTCGGGATCCTGGCAGTTCCCCATCAGCAACTGGATGAAGATATCTCTTTCCGGAATGTACAGTCGTGTAAAATATGCAGAAGCTGGTTGGATAAGCCTTGTGCTTTAGTTTAGTTATTAATGGGTATGAACATCATAGTGTCATCATCTAGTTGGATAAGACACTCATCATGTCATCATCCGTCAACCCAACCCAACCCAGCTGATAGATAATTTGCTACAGTAGCATTATCATTGATGATTTGTATTAACAACTTTGTTCTAGAGGAATCCGGCAGGTAATCACCGGTACGATCAGAATACTTTGTTCTAGAGGAATCCGGCATGCAATCACCGGTACGGTCAGTCCGGGAAATGGTAGCTAAGCTCAATATAATTAATGCTAGATACATCCATTTGAACGACAAGTAATACGGATCCTACATCTGTTTGAACCACAAGTAATACATTTGCTCTAGCAAACTGGAGAGATAAGACGTCTAGTGGGCTTGCCTACTTTTGAGGTCTTTGACAAGTTGGAATTTTTAGTCCATGAGCAGCACATCTAAGGTATTCTTTGTGCTCACCACCCAATCAACCTGACTGACAAGACACCGAACGGGACACAGCTGCTG